GGTATACGTTAGATGAATAATTCAATATTTGAGATGCACCGCGGGTAAGCCACCTAACCTCATTGGCACCTCATCTATCCTGCGATTATTGTGCTACTGAAATTAGCTTATCTTGTTGAAAGATGCGTTCTGAATATTTTTTATTATCATTTATCAATATAAAATTGTAATATTAACAAATAAAAATACATAGTTTGAATCCCACCTCATTTCCACATAAAATCATTTTTAATGTCCAACGATTGATTATCGAATTAAAAATTAACACATAATCATTAAAGTTATCTGTTCGATCTACACTCCAAACTTATTATAAAGCAAAGAGATTTTTTTATTATTTCTCCATAATTTTTGATGTGTACAAATTGAAGGAAATAAAATGAATTCGTGTTATTTTAAATTTGATACAACTAACTATAATAATCTTATAATCAACGGTAATTTTTAAAAATATCTGAAAATAATAGAAATATTTTACCGACACTAAGTCAAAATTTTACCTGACACTGAGTTTCTGGATCTGGATATATTCTCCCAGGTATACCACAGGCTAAACTCGTCAGGGGCATGGAGTTGTAATTTTGTTGGAAATTCATGATTTTATTGGCGTTATTGGACGTATCGTAGGCATCTCGAAAATTCCAACCCTAGAATAAATTTAAATTAAATTTATTAACTGTAAAGTATATGATATTGATAATACTTTCTACTTAATATAATGTATTAATAGGTATTTTCTACAATTACTACTTATTACTTTATTATATTATCTTTGTTTATTTCAGATATTTGTTTGTTTATTATAAGTTATTTACAAATAAACAATAYATATTTTGTATTATAAATAATATGTAAACCATATTGTATTATGAACCATATAGTATTCTAAAATAAATTTTCTTGCAGGAAATTTTCACAACTTCAAGAAGTTCCATCACTGGATGAATTCTTCACTCAAGTCATCAGTCCCTCTTATTTTATTTTATTTTATTCTTATAATATTTCTATCCTTACAGCACTTATACTTATTGTTAAATATTATATTTACAGATTGTATAATAAAATAATAATATACAAAAAAAAAAAAAGGAAATTTTAATAATTCATAATATTATGTTATATAGTATGTATAGGTAACAATATATTTAATAATATATTAAGTTAGCTTAGGTATCGTAGTCCATCTTAAGATTATTATACAACATCTTTGATCAAGATTTGTTGCAGTTCGATCACATATTCGAATATTTGAAGCTGAAACGCACATAGTGTAGTTAATTAAACGTACACAAACGTAGTTAATTATGTGCCTTCAACGTTTTTCAAATTGAAAACTACATATCAGACAAAATCCGAAATTTCGAAATCCGGATGTTGATTTAGGTTCTTTCGATATTTATATATAAAAAAATCTACCTTGACAGTGTCAATTTGACATTTACTGTTAAGAGAACACCTCCCTGAATTTGTTATTTCCATTATGCAAACGCAYAACATATATAAAAATTTGTGTTCAAAGGATCCAAGTGTGTGTAATAAGCTTAAATAATAGAGATAATTGATCACATGGAATTTTACGGTAAATTAATTTTTAAGAAAGTTATGAATAACTGTGTAAAATATTATAATTTAAAAATTCTCAATAAAAAAGTACTCTTAATTAAATTATCTATGATCCACAGATTATGTGCTTATCTATTCCAGATTGATAATAGGTCGATTTACTCTAATATAAAAACTTATTATTTCATATAGGTACAATTGGA